CAGAGTTAGTTCCAACTCATAATGATCCTGTATCAAGATTCCGAGGCTGTAAATCTTTATGGGAGCAGAAAGCCTCATCTTTCTCCCATGGAAGTGTTTTCCATTAATTGGTGACTCCCTGTGTTACTGCTAATTAGTACTGAGGCTGCTGCCCTCTGGTGTTAGAGAAAATTGATTAATTCTGAAGGAGAATGTAGAACACAGTCTTTGTAGACTATGTTATGCTAGTTGACCTTGGTGTCCTCTGAGATAATCGTCCTGAGTCCCCAGGCTCAGTGACTTAGCTCCTTAGGGTATTTGGTTGTATCTAAGAAGTTTTCACAATTGCACCCTCTGTATGTTCCATCATATTCATGGATATATTTGCAACAAAGGTAAATACCTATGCACAAATATTATCCTCTGTCAAACCTATATATATGTTAGCCTGTGTGTCTATCCATGTGTCTATTCTTGCTGTTGTTGTTAAATGCCATCAAGTTGGTTCCGACTCATAGCAAATCCAGTTTAGGATTTTCAAGAAGTGGCTGGTGGTTTTGAAGCACCAACCTTGAAGTTAGCAGTCCCATACTTATCCTACTGTGCCACACCAGGAATCTTACATCACCATTATTACAGGGTTGTATATGTAACAGTATTGCCTCTGTGGCCTTTAACTCTTGCATTCCTTCCAGGGTCTTCCCCGTCTCCATCCTTTTTTGTGACTTCCTTCTCATCGTATATTACATTCCCTTTCATCCAAGTTAATACATGTCTAGCCTCTAGTCATCAATTTACCCTTTGTCCTCCTCCCACCCCTGGTAACCATCAAAGAAGGGTTCTTTTAGTGTGAAAACCTCTTCTTGACTTTTTACAATAATGGTCTCATATAATATTTGTACTTTTGTGATTGACTAATTTCATTCAGCCATAGTGTTCCTTGGAGGCCAAGATGGTCAAACTTCGTCTCTCATACTTTGGACATATTACCAGGAGGGACCAGTTGCTGGAGAAAGATATCATGTTTGGTAAGGTGGAGGGTCAGAGAAGAAGAGGAAGACCCCCCAGTGAGATAGATTGGCCAAGTGGCAGCATCGATGAACTCAAGCATGGCAAGGGCAGTGAGGTTGGCCTAGGATAGGGTGGTGTTTCCTTCTTCTACGCATAAGGTCGCTATGAGTCGGTACTGACTCGATGGCACCTAACAGTGACAACAATGTCTATATGACCTTTTCATAGTCTTATTTGGTAAGCTACAATTCTTACTATGTTACTTGTTGTAAAAGGTCCTCTGTGCAGGATTTAATATAGTAACCGAGGCTGTAAATCTTTATGGGAGCAGAAAGCCTCATCTTTCTCCTATGGAAGTTTCAAACTGCTGACTTTGAGGTTAGCAGCCTGACTTGTAACCACTCAGCTACTAGAGCTCCTTACATGACCTAGTTAATGGTGGGGGGGGGGAGTGGGAAGAAAACGGTCATATTGAAGGCCTCAAAGAGTATGACAGTTATAATGATATAAACGAAAAATATTATAGCTCTTAGATACAAAGGGAGTTTATCTCTTAGTTAACCAGAACCTACCTTATTAGAAAAGGAGCTCTGGGTAGCATCGTGGTTATGAATCGGGCTGCTAACCTCAAGGTCAGCAGTTCGAAACTACCAGCAATTACATGGGAGAAAGATGAGGCTTTCTGCTCCCATAAAGATTTACAGCCTTGGAAATCCTATGCAGGGTCTCTATGAATCGAAACAGACTCCATGGCACACAACCACCGTCACCTTGTTAGAAGGAATCCTGGTGTGG